CAACTGGGGAAGCATAGCAAAACCTTGTCTCAAACTAATGAGTGAATAAATGCATTTTAATTATACAAAAACCAATAAACAGGCAAGTTCTACAAGGTGGTCGCAATACCATCTTCATGGAAGCTGACCTAAGGCAGCACTCAGCTGATTCATCGGCTGACTCAGTCCACTTCCATGAAGGATCTGTGAAAGCCTGAGTTGGCCATACAGAGATCCTGTGGTATTGTATTCCCCCAAATATTGTGCATACTAATAAACTTATCTGGGGTCAGAGACAGAGCAGCCACAATATTAAACATAAAGGATAGGCAGTGGTAGCACACGCCTTTAATCCTAGCATTCCAGAGGCAGAAATCCCTGTGTTCAAGGATACAACCAAGCATGGTGACTCATGCCTTTAATCCCAGAAAGCAAGCCTTTAATCCCAGGGAGTGGTGGTAGAAAACAGAAAGGTATATAAGGCGTGAGGACCAGAAACTAGAAGCATTTGGCTGATTAAGCTTTTAGCTAGTTAAGCTTCAGGCTTTCGAGCAGCAGTTCAGCTGAGACCCATTCTGGATGAGGACTCAGAGGCCTCCAGTCTGAGGAAACAGGATCAGCTGAGGATCCAGCGAGGTGAGGTAGCTGTGGGTTGTTGTGTCTCTCTGATCTACCAGCATTGACCCCAATAATTGGCCTTGGGTTTGATTTTATGAATAAGAACTTTTAAGATTCATGCAACAAGATCCAGTAAGGAGCCCACGCAAAGAAAAAGGACAGCATTGTCTCCTGCAGTGATGCTGCTGGAGACACCAGGATCTTGGCCTTTAGAACTCACTATGGAGAGAACCTAGGACAAGAGACTTTTTTTCTGAATATTTCTAAGAAAAATGTGGTATGCTGGGCATTGGCAAAACAGGTGACTCATCTCTGGGAAAGTACAAATTGTATTGCAAAGAAATTGGTATGAGATGAATAATTAAGCAGGAAATATGCATTTCTTTCTCTATAATTTGGGGTTTTCAATTAAAATTCCTATCTAATGACATATCATCTCATTCCCAAATGTATGTCCAAAGCTAAATGATGCACTGTGACTTCCCCCAATATCTGTGCATCCTAAGCACACCATGGCAGGAAGGCTGATCCAAATGCTTGATTCATGTTACTTCTGACAGGTGATGTCTGCAAGACATGCATCGAAACAGACTGCACTCCAGCGGCTACCTTAGTCATTAGTTCTCACAGAATTAAAGAGTACTATTCATCCCAATAGTAGAAACCTAGGTCAGGGCCTCTTCCTTGCTCTGTAATTCCATTAGCACCACACAGAAGGCAGGTGGGGGGTAGGGGGTGGGATAAGCTCTGCAGACCTTATCTCTGAGCAATGGGACTACGTCTTGTTCCCAGAGAGAATCCTCTCTGGAAGCACTCTTGTCAAAGATTTGTTGTGCATCAGAATGTACTTGCATATGAGCGGAAATGCCAATAAAGAAAAAGTGAGGCTGCTTCAGATGCCAAGAGTCTCCAAGACTGGTTCTATTAAAGCAGATGCCAACAGAAACTTACTGGGTGCTTCCGATAACCGGGCACATGTTAAAGTGTTAGTTTTGGGTTTTATGTAAAGAATTCTGTCATTCTGGGTGGCTAACATAGAATTTGTTTCCATTTCAGTTTTTTTTATTGCAACATTATTCTAACTACTGAAAGAAAGTTAAAATGTCATGTTCATCTTGAGATTTCAGGCAGCGTGCTTTCAACAGTCAGACAAGTCATTCCCCTGTCTCTTGTGGAGCAATCACTTCCAGATCCCACAGATTCATCAGAAAAGAACCACCCCAAGGTTTGATGGCACAGGCAAGGATTCCGGGGCTGGATTGACCCTAGCATGCTTTCTTAACAGAAAAATGTGCTTGATTACTATGCTGGAAGGATTTGAAAAAGAGCTTCGAATGGCACTTGGAAATTAATAATAACCTTGGGTTGTTTGTTTTCACTGTTGTTGAGTACACAAAATTGTGGGGAGGAGACTGTATTTGAAACCTTCGGGATTTTATGCCCAGTAAATCCAGATGACACAGTGCAGTGGAGGAGAGGACAGAGGCGCAAAAAGTCAAAGCAGAAAACCAGCCGTCCAAGCACCATTTGTCAGTGTTTGCAGTATATTTTTTTAATTTAATTCCAAATGTCAGTGTTTCTCAGACACGCCCCCCCCCCAAATTTCTTCAAGCAAAGAAATGGCAAAGTGATGTGAAGTCCTAACTAAACAGGATCTGAGGGGTATCCAATTTTCCTTTCTCTCTTTTCCTCCTGCCGTACCGCAGCTGCATCAAAGCATCCCGTCATCAAAGCATCCCCAGTGCCTGGCTCCCACCCTTTGTGCATTTTAATATAAATACAACCACATCTATAAACAACTTGCTTATTAAGTGTTAAATTTTAATGTTCATGTTATATAAATAAATGTTAAATAGAAATTAAATTTAAATGTTAAATAAATAGGTATCATTTAACAAAGTGCTTGTCTCATGTTAGTAAATACTCAAAAGAAGTAGAAGGGATTGTTACTAGCCCTCAATAAATCCAAAAGCAGACAACCAAAGGATCCATGCTATGTTGATTTCCCTTTGCATAATAAACTATTAGCTCCAAGCTGGTGTTTTCAACAAATATGTGCAATGATTTTGATGCGAAATCAGAGAAAGGCAGATGTGCCTCATCCAGTGTCGATCTAATCCCTGAAATACATCTCTTTTTTTTTAAAATGAAGTTGTTTCCCATGTTATGCTTGAAGGATGGTACTCTTCATGTCCCCTTAGGTTTCATGTTTATAAGTTATCTCATACAGAAAAAAGCCAAGTTCACACACACACACACACACACACACACACACACACACACACACACCACACAATTAAGTAAGAAAGATTTGAAAGGAAATAGTAATAAAAAGAATGATAGTTAATACTTCGAGATTATTTCTTAAGGTTCAGGTACTGTTCTACTAGCCACCTACACATGATGGGTCATCTAGTTCTAAGAACTACTGTGAGGTTGGTGACATTATTATCCCAAGAATAGTTGGAAAAGGTTAAGAGGTCTTAGCCAACTTCCCAAAGATCACAGTGTCCACATTTATAGGCAGGAAAGCCAAACTATTTATAGATCATTCCAAGAACTATTGAGCATGGAAAGGGGAAAACAGAGCAGCAAAAAAACTTCTCCCCTGATTATACTTGAAAACCAAACACCTTCCAATATTTACATTTTTTTACATTTATTCCTTTTAGTATGTGTATGTGTGCCTATGTGAATGATGTGTGTGTGTGTGTGTGTGTGTGTGTGTGTGTGTGTGTGTGTGTGTGTGTGCATGTGTGTGCAAGTGCAGGAATACCACAGTGTACCATGGAGATCTGAGGACAACTCCAGAGTCAGATCTCTCTTGCTGCCTTGTGAGCTCTGGAGGTTAAACTCAAGTCATCAGTCGGGACAAGGACCTCTACCTGATGAGCCACCTTACTGCTTCCTACATTATTAGCTTTTGAATCAGTAATTGTTCTTATTACATTTCTGCCGAGAAATACAGTCTATGATTCTAAAATGGTCATTAGTAAACTCTAAATAGCACTCTCTTAATTAAACACATTAGTGCTTAGGGTAAACAAAAATGAGTTGGGGCTCAAACATGATGAGTTTCACTTCAGGGACACAAACGTGGCCAATATTTTTCTATGCTATCTATAACCTTTCACAGTAGAATACTGAGCAAGGTCCTAGTTCATTAACTCACTAATTGTCCTTTCTCTCCATGGTTATTAGTTGATAATCCGCCCTTCACTGTAACACATGTGCCAAATTGAGAACTCAAGGTGTAGACATCCTTAGAGAATCTGAACAGTGGAATGTGTCTACCTCTGTTTCTGCACACTAGCTTAGTACCTGATCCATCAGCAGGTTTTTAGATTACAAGTTCTTTGAAGGGACACATGAGACACTGTGCACTATTGAGATCTGAGCCCAGACACAGCAACCTTGGTATGTAGTCCACCATTTACACTAAATGTCAGTCATCCTGCTAGAAAAATATGCATCCCCATGTATCTGGCTCTTCTCAAACATATAAATTAAAGATTAAAGTAAAATGTGTTCATTGTTTTAAAGAATTACATAAAAGTTATACCAACTCTAAAACTTTTACAATATTTTAATATCTCAACAGTTGGAGTATATCTTCTGGTTAATGAGTATAATTATTTAAGGGACAGGTTTCTATTTTTTCTTTCTTATGACCCTTAAAATTGTATCTTTGCCACTAATGGCATCTTGGATTGATGAAATCCATTGGACACTTGACGTTAGTGTGTTCTCAAGGTCACCTTGTGAAGTGGAAAGGAAAGGATGATAGAAAACTTGCTGCCCTTCAACTAAATCTTATCAGACTAGAGGTAAGTTCTGTGGCTTGGCCAGGTCGCTGCTCCCTGGATTAGTGGGTATTTACGGATTCCCCTCCTTCCTTCTGTCAATAAGATGGAGATACATAGTAAGTGCCTGTCATTTATTGTACCTTCCTGGGGCTGTACCACTCTCTCTCCAGTTGGAGCTTTTTGCACACTCTTCTACACCTGTGGTTCTCAAACACTGGTATGTACTGGACTCTCCCAAGAAGCTGCTTAGAAATCCATGGTTTGTGTTTCCTGACTAGAAATTCAGATTCTGATTTTTGGGAAGGCTCAGAGAGCTTATATTTGATCCTCAGATGAGTTTGATACACTTAAAATTTGAGAACCTCTGCTCTTTGGGTTTAGAATTGGCCTGTCACTGCAAAGGACTTGAATTAAGGAACTGTGGTCTCAGTAGTATGCACAGAACCACATTTATTAGAAATGGTTGTTGTGTGAAAAGGCAAAAACATTGGCAAAGGACAGAATTCTGGCATTGCTTTGCTTGTCTTAGGCGGGACTGGAAGATAGAACCTATACTGGTGATGTCCCTGATACCTATTTCTGTTGGGGTTTTTTTAGCTGTGCCCCATAAAATCGGACGCATCATTGATGGGAGTCCTGCAGATCGCTGTGCAAAACTAAAAGTGGGAGACCGGATCTTAGCAGTCAACGGCCAGTCTATCATCAACATGCCTCACGCTGACATCGTGAAGCTCATCAAGGATGCGGGTCTTAGTGTCACCCTTCGCATCATTCCTCAGGAGGGTGAGTGCCTGAGGTGGCCTTTAGAGGGACAGTCAGACCACAGACAGATTCACCCCGGGCTCTTCAGCCTGCCCACCCAGCTCCTGGAGTCCACCAGCTGACACCAGGGTGCTGTCTGAGTGTCAGAGGTTGACAGCCATTTCCACTTTGTCCCAAACACACACTCAGCAGCTTCATTAGAAATGAACTGTACTGCAGGCTCAGTAGTAGGAATCCTAAGACACAGGGCTATAAGAGCCCGCCCTGGGGTCTCAGGCATACTAGTTTTACGGAGATTTAAAGCTAGCACTCAACTCAACCCAGCAGGTAGCAAAACAAACCTGAAAGAAAAAAAAAAAGCAGAGGAGGAGATGCTTGCTCATGTTAATAATTAATCTCTAGAAAAGTCTTCAAAGTCAGATTGATTTTGAAACGCCTGGGGAAGATTTGGTTTTGCAGTCTAAAGAGAGCTCATTTAACAAATGTTACATCTGATAAGAATGTAAAATTCACACTTAGCCTTTCAAATTTCTCTGTACAAGTTCCCCAACCCTAACACCCAAAGGTTTCAGAACAGTAAACAACCCACACTCACAACTGAGACCCATCTACATTCTTTTACAATTTCTATGCACAGCAGGCTGGTTGCTGGGTTGTAGCTTCTGACTCATCAATGGAACTGAAGAGGTTCATCTTTGGAACTCACTGATGAGTAGCCATGGGACTCCTCCAGGGGCTGAGGGAGTCCACTGATGAGTAGCCATGGGACTCCTCCAGGGGCTGAGGGAGTCCACTGATGAGTAGCCATGGGCCCCCTCCAGGGGCTGAGGGAGTCCACTGATGAGTAGCCATGGGTCCCCTCCAGGGGCTGAGGGAGTCCACTGATGAGTAGCCATGGGTCCTCTCCAGGGGCTGAGGGAGCCCACTGATGAGTAGCCATGGGTCCCCTCCAGGGGTTGATGGAGCCCACTGATGAGTAGCCATGGGTCCCCTCCAGAGGCTGAGGGAGTCCACTGATGAGTAGCCATGGGTCCCCTCCAGGGGCTCTTGGGCTTACTTTGCATTCTTTTTTTGACTCAGCCCCCTCTTACCCATTCCACTTCAAGACTGTCTGATACGTGGACACTAAATGGCAGAGTAGCCAGTCACCTGACTTTAATTATGAAACAGAAGCTCCTAACTTGGGAGATTTAGTAACCTTAGGGAATATCTGGTACTGTCTAGAGACAATTTTGACTGTCATGATTGGGGCGGAGATATGACTGTCATCTAGTGAATAGAGGTCAGAGATGCTTCTAACCATCATATAACACTCAGGACAATGCCCCACAGTAAAGAATTATCTGACCCAAATATGAAGAGTGTAAAGTTTATCCCTAATAAACACAGGGATGATATTAAGACATTTGAACTATATTAGAAGACAGAAAAGTGGTTTATATCAAAATGCAAATAGGATACCTCCCTTGGTTACCTAACTACAAAAATAGACAGACAGACAGACAGACAGACAGGCAGGCAGGCAGGCAGATAGACAAATGATAAGGGCCATGCTTTTAGTCTGTTGTCAGAAGGCACCAGTCTGTATAAGACAGTCAATGGAAATAAAGTATAAGCAGGACTGTCTCCTACAGACTGGGCATGCTTCTCTGCCCTCCCAGTCTGAAGTGTTGGTCCTGCCTTTACTCCACCATTGGAGGTCATATCCACTGAAATTTTATGTTGTTAAGGTAAGAAAAAAACCAAGAAGCAGATTTTGAATAGTTTCATGAATCTCCTATGTGTGGAATTCTTTACTCTTCCTGGAGAACTGTAGGCACAGAGGACTCAGTATGACTGGCGAGGGGCCAGAGAAGAGGTTGTAACAGAGTCTATGTTCCCACAGCTAGCCTCCTGTCCACATATTGGAAGCCTTGGGCTGAGTGTGGTGGCACATACCCCACTACTCAGCTCCTTGGCAGGTGGAGTAAAGACTACCTTTCCAGGATTAGCAGGACTACAACGTGAGGCTGTGTCTAAAGCAAAGGAAGAGAGATTTCTTAAACAGCCGAAAGGTGTTGGCTAGAACATTTTCTCTCAGCAACATTCAAATATTTATAGATAACCAGAATATTTTATGCTTGTTCCTTTGAGTAATTTACTCATAGTTTTAGTTTCTACTTTGGTTTGTTTGCTTCTGTGACCTTTCCTCCCACAAAATGACAAGACTTTTCATAACTTTACTCAGTAATGATTGTGATTAATGAAAGAATACTCCTTCCAGGAATGGTGTGAACCTTGGTAAGTTTAACATGCTAGCAAAAGGCCCAGCAGAAACTGAAATGACCAAGGCCTGGAATCACACAAGGAGGGATGAGTTCCAACCTCTGTTTACTTCTTGCTCCTGATCAGATGCCAACCTGACCACATCTGTTGCCTTGGTTCCCATCAGAGCTCAACAGCCCAGCATCGGCACCCAGCTCAGAGAAACAAAGTCCTATGGCCCAGCAGCACAGCCCCCTGGCCCAGCAGAGCCCTTTGGCCCAGCCAAGCCCAGCCACCCCCAACAGCCCTGTTGCCCAACCAGCTCCTCCTCAACCTCTTCAGCTACAAGGACACGAAAACAGGTAATGTTTCCTCTGACTTTTCTCTGAGAGGTGATAAGAGAATGTATGGGGACAGTTCAGGACACAGCAGTGAGAGAGATTTTCACACAGCTGAACTTACTGTGCGTACTTTTATATAGTTTCAGTGGGGAGGAGATTAATATATTGTTTCATTAGTAAATATAACTCAACGTCTGCCCTGCACAGTAGAGATGCTCCTCTGCAGGAATGCTGAGCAATTGTGGATTAGTATGTGTTAACTAGCTAAGAGCACTAAGGAGCTTCTAGAATGAGAAGGGTCTCTGGCAAGAGGGCGACCCAAACATGAAGGACAGAAGCAAGGCCAGGGTTGTTGTGAAATAGGGTATGGGAGAGCTAGAGATGAGTCCAATGAGGGTGAAGCCAACCCCAAGGCTCTGGTACGCATAGTGAAAGTCCTCACGTTTGTCCTAATAGAGGGGCAGCTTCTACAGGTTTCAGGCTGGCAAGCGACACCTCTGGATTCTCTTTGCGGAAACTTTCACTTGTCCCTTTGCAGAGCAGACTGATGGCTGGCAGGGTAAAATAGATTAAAAGTGGAAACATGGCTGCAGAAAAGCATAAACATTTGAAGCTCAATGGCAGTGTGGAGGGGAGGGGAAGCAGAGAACTCCTAGCCAATCACAACTGTCCACACTTTCCGCTAATTGAGTGAGAACTTTACACTGTCCTCTCTACAATCTAATGAGCTATCCATTCCATACATGGGACCTCCTGAACTAATTATGAGACTAGAAGACAGGAATGTCCTATGGAAATGTCTTATTGCGAGTTGTGTGTAACAGAGGGCCCAGCTTGGGTTGAGCCATTTAAGAAATAAGGAAGGATGTGTTCCCGTATATTTTTCTTCCTCCAACAGGAGAAAAGCAGAGCATACCTGAATGCAAAGGCCTCCTTAGCCTTATGATTCCAGCATTTCCTGAACAGCTACCTCCCATGCCCATGCCATGTCAGTGAAGGTGGAGTAAGACAGATTTTCAGAACTCCCTGGCTCCATCATTCACACCTTCTCAGAACAATGATTTCCACTATACCATATTTCCATAAAACCCATTCTGCTATGATTTTTCCATATGCTTTTATGGAAAGTGAGTGCCTGGCTGTCCTTAGCTGCTTATGTTTTTAGTATATGCTAGGGAAGAGAAGCCCCATTGAGCAAGTGATGCAGAGATAAGAGATTGACAGCCCCTAAGAAGAGTAAGTTCTGGTTGCCTCAGTCCTGAGCCCAGCTGAGCTTGCTTGCACCACGTGTCGTCTGGACAGCGGGCACTGGCTTTCCCAGGCTCCATGCGGACTGATGCGGACTGGAGGGAAGACAGCGCACTTGCAGTCCTCAGCTATCTCAGACTCCAGCTCTCGGCTTTGCCATTGTAGTTAATCTGGTCATCCTTCTTCTTTCCGAGTGCAGCTGCCCTGGATTTGAGTCTTACTTCTAGCCTTGGGTGGGTAATCTCACCTCTACCAGCTAGTTAACTCCCCTGTGTACTGGCCGTCATCTCTCCAGAAAAGGTTATCCCACTGTGAAGAGCAAAGCACGAGAGGACAAGGACTGGAGGGCCCCAACTCCTCCTAGCTTATAACTAGGTCTTCCCTCTCCCTGACATGGAAGCAATGGTCTTTGCAAATACTCTCCCATGACCACAAAATAAAGTATTTTCATATGTGAAGTTAGCATATTTACATGATTCAAATGTTTACAAACCACCGACACATTTGCCTCAGTCATGTGAACAACCTGAGAAATGGCCGCTCCAGTCTCAGAGCCTTTTACAGACCTGTGCTCAGGTTCCCTGGCTTACATTTTTATTGTTACCAGTGATTCATTTATGTTTGAACAAAAGATTCAATGATTTTGCAGCTATCAGAAACGTTTTCATGGTCTCTTCCAAAGACGGCCATGGTGTCAGGCAGCATCTCTAGCCTGTTTCTAGATTAGACTAGAGATCTGCCAAGTCAGTGCACATGGTTCTTCTGTACAAGGCATGCCCACCTACACGTCAGAGTGAGCCATTTCCCATGCAAGAATGGGGAAACTACAATGGCAATCTTCTTAAATATTTCTATTTTGCAAATGAGAATAAGTGATATTGATTTCCAAGAGCATTGGAAAATGTATGTGATCTCATTTACTCACAGATTAACTTCCTATGCTACCCTATGCACTCAGGAATCACAAAATAATTCTAAAGTGATCATAAGTAAAAGCAAGAAGGATCTCTTTAAAAAGAAAAGAACTATTGTAGAATATATTCCAAAACTAAGCGTAAAGAATGGAGTTCGCCAACAAGGGTAATTGATGTTTGCCATTGAAAATGACAAGGCCTGTGGAAGAGCATTGGAAAACATATTCGTTCGCCCCCCTGGAACCCTAGATACTCAAGGCTGGACATGATTCTTTTTTCTTTTTCCTTCTTCTTTTTTTAAATGTTATGTGCCCTGGTGTTCGGCCTGTATGTGTGTCTGTGTGAGGGCATCAGATCCCCTTAGACTACAGTTACAGACAACTAAGAGCTGCCACGTGGGTGCTGGGAATTGAACCAAGGTCCTCTGGGAGAACAGCCAGTGCTTTTAACCACTAAGCCACCTCTCCAGCCCTGAAGTGTTTTTTTTTTTTTAAGATTTATTTATTTACATATTTTATGCATATGAATACTTTGACTACATGTACATCTGCACACCAAAAGATGGCATCAGACAGTGTGAGCTGCCATGTGGGTGCTGGGAATTGAACTCAGGACACTTGGAAGAGCAACCAGTGCTCTTAACCATGGAGCCATCTCTCCAGCCCGGAAATGATTATTTCTTTAAGTTTAGTTAAAATATAAATATGTCATTTCTTCCTTTCCTCTTTCCTGCCTCTCCCATCTCCAGCTCCCCCCCCAAAGTATGGGCCTCATTCTCTTTAGCTATTACTGTTACGCACACATACAAAGAGATCAATGCATAAATCCAGCCTGCTGAGTCCCTCCAGTGCTGCCTGCATGTGTGAGCTGCTGGGGCTGACCACTCAGCACGGCATAGCCAATCCGGAAACTCGTCTCTGGGGAAGAATTCTCCTTCTGTCTGACATTGTTAACTGCCTGCAGTTCCTGAAATCTCATGAGCTCCTACCCCTAGAAATGATTCCTAAAAGGCTCTCAAGCTGTGGAATTTCTCCTGGGCAGCATTTCCTAGTCTTAGAACTTTATCACACCATAAAAACTTACCAGAATTTATCTTTGCCATCTGTCCTTACCATCTCTCTAAAGTATCTTTAGTGATGGAATTAACAGATATAAGAATTATGTTGGTGACCTTCTTTTATATGTAAAATAACCCTTAAGAGCGTGTGTGTGTGTGTGTGTGTGTGTGTGTGTGTGTGTGTGTGTGTGTGTGTGCGTGCGCGCGTGTCCAAGCATGTGCAGAGGGCAGAGGTTTGTTGGATATCTTCTCAACTGGTTCTTCATCTTACTGTTTTGAGTGACAGTCTGTGTCTGAACCTGGGGCTCACTGGTTGGTTAGAGTGTCTGGCCAACACGGCGCACAGACCCTCCTGTTTCTACCTCCCAAGTGCTGGGATTACAGGCACAACCTCTGCACCTGGCTTTTACACAGGTGCTGGCGATGCAAACTCGGGTCTTCATGTTTATGGAGCAAGTGCTTCCCAACTTGACCTGCCTTCCCAGCCTGGAGCCTGGCCTTTTTTTTTTAATTTTTAATAATCTAATTCTATGTTTTCCATAAAGTGAAGTGTTTCACACGTTCAGTCCAACCTAATTTTTCCTCTTGCCAGTGTGTCACCCACTTAAAAATTGGCAAATTCATACAAAGTTAAGTACATTTTCCTCATTAAAGAGCTCTTCAGTATGCGGCTGCCTGGAGTTCCTGACACATGACAGTGCAGTGGAGGGAAATCCGAGTGCTTGGTGGCCCAGTGACAGCCGCAGCGAACTGCACTCTTCCTGTTTCCAGTCATTTGCCTAATCTGTGGGGAGAGTCTTACATTTCACCTCTTTTACTGTAACTGGTGGCACATCTGGTTGGAAACAGAGCACAAAATGGGTATTTCATACCAATAACACACAGATCATAAAAATAAAGTGGTTATGCTATAGCTTAAAACAGGGTAACGTCTAAACCACTGAGCTAGCGATTTCTAGAAGGGAACCATCACACACTGGCAAATGCCACCCCGTTCGATTCCTTTTGTTTAATGCATGCTTTTGCATAGTTAAGCATCTTATTCAAATCGTATTTTAAATAATTCTGTTCACAGCTTGCACCTCAGTAGGTGAATGGACTAGTGAGGAGGAAAGCAAAGCTTGAGTTATGCAAGTCACAGAAGGATGTCCTTCCTCTCTGCAGGGTTAAGGAACAAATGTAACCTACTCAGATTGGCGATTGAAACCACTTAGTAACCCCTCCCAAGAAGCCCAAGTGAACACATCCACTGTTCTGCACTTCCCGTGTGCCCTCCCCAAGTGCTGGGTTATAGTAGTGGTAACTGCTCAGGCTGACTTTTTTGTTTTGATATTTGCTAGTAATCAGCATCAGTCAGACCACAAGCAAGTAAAGACGCCATCTTCTATGTAAAATTCTACACACATTGAACCTTTTTTATGTGCTGAATATTCCCTTAATCCCACCAGATATGGTATCATACACCTGCAATCCTAGCATCTCAGGAGGCTGATGGAGGCATATCACAAATTCAAGACCAGCCAGAGCTACATAGTTAGGCCTTATCTAGGGAAAAAAGAAGAGAAAAGAAAGTATTTTGCTAATTCTTCAGAATATTGTTTTAATCTAATTTAATTACATCTGTACTGCAGCAACAGGCCATGAGCTATAAAATGTAAAAGCCTCTGGGGTGTTGGCTTGTCTTACCCATGTACCCATGATCCCACAATGTCAGGGATTGACGGTCACTCTTACTGTGACCAGGGAGCACCCTCAGCTTAGAGCAGTGGGGATGTCTGGAAGATTTCTCAGCTTCTGCTTCTACTCTCTGTGTTTATCCATGAGTAAGGACTAAAAACAAGCCAGAAATGAATGTTGCACTGGGTCATCTTGCCTTCCCCCATCACATGACCACAGTGGGATCCAGGAGCTGTGCTTTCATACTTCATCCTCTGCAGGTCTAAGCTCCAGTTTTCCCAGTGAGTCCGGGACTCCGGGCCTGCACTCTATTTGATGAGCACGCCTTTCTGCCACATCTTTAACATCTAAAATGCTCCAAAAGATGCAACTTGGCAGTTAAAATAACCCTGGTTGGGACTGGAGAGATGGCTCAGTGTTTAAGAGCCCTTGCTCTTGTAGAAGACTGGGTTTTAGTTCCCAGCGTGCACACAATGCCTCATAACCCTCTATAACTCCAGTTCCATGCACTTCTTCTTCTGGCTGCTAAGGTCAACATTCAACCATTCACACATACATACATATAAACATTCATACACATAAAATAAAACTTTTAAAAAGCCATTAATAACATGTTTATAAACTATTTAGTGATCATTTCAATTGTGTTTCCATGATGATGTGCCAAGTACTGTGTTTGTATGTGAGAGAGAGGGAGACAAAGACAGACAGAGACCGAGAGAAAGGCAGGGGAGGCATACAGGAAGAGGGGAGAAGGAGGGAGAGGGACATGACATGTTTAATCCCCTTGATTTGCAGTGATTGTACAGCTGGGTTTCTTCTAAAGATTTATTTTATTTTTAATTATGTATGCATGTGTATGTCTGTGTGTGGGTATGTGCACATGAGTGCAGTACCTGTGGAGTGCAAAAGAGTCCAATTCCCTGGAGCTGGAACTACAAGTGGTTGTGGGCTGCCTGACGTGGGTGCTGGGAACTGAGCTTAAGTCCTCTACAGCAGCAGTGCAAGCTCTTAACTATAAGCCAGCCCTCCAACCCCCAACTATGCAGTGTTTAAATAGCCAAGTGAGAGAGAAATACCCATGATGCCTTCCTACAAAAGTTCTGGTGAAAACATCACTTTTATGTCAATTTCTCTTGTTTGTTTGTCTTTTGTTTGTTTGGTTTGGTTTGGTTTGGTTTTGGTTTTGGTTTGGTTTGGTTTTTGAGACAAAGTTTATCTGTGTAACTCTGGCTGTCATGGAACTAGGACTGTAGACCAAATGGCCTGCAACTCACAGAAATTCACCTGCCTCTGCCTCCTGAGTGCTGGGATTAAAGACATGCACCACCACTGCTCTGTTTATGTTGATTTCTTTTTTTTTTTTTTTTTTTTTTTTTTTTTTTTTTTTTTTTTTTTTTTAAAGGCGGGATGGGAGGAGCTTTAGGGGCATACACCTCTTTTTTTTTTTTTTAAAGATTTATTTATTTATTATGTATACAGCATGTATGACTGCAGGTCAGAAGAGGGCACCAGATCATTACAGGTGGTTGTGAGCCACCATGTGGTTGCTGGGAATTGAACTCAGGACCTCTGCAAGAGCAGTCAGTGCTCTTAACCTCTGAGCCATCTCTCCAGCCCCTTATGTTGATTTCTTAAGGAGCCAAATGAAAGTATATAATACGACATTTGTCAACAATTTCTTAAATCCTAAATATGTAATGAGACCAACTCAAAGATTGGGTCCCCACAAGCTGTAGTGGCTGGACCATGCTTAGAGTCTTTCTAATCTCCTCAGAGTTCTGAAATATGAAAGCAAACTCCCTTTTCCTTTATCTAGTTACAGGTCAGAAGTTAAAGCAAGGCAAGATGTGAAGCCAGACATCCGGCAGCCTCCCTTCACAGACTACAGGCAACCCCCACTGGACTACAGGCAACCCCCAGGAGGGGACTACCCGCAACCCCCACCCTTGGACTACAGGCAGCACTCCCCAGACACCAGGCAGTACCCTCTGTCAGACTACAGGCAGCCACAGGTACCTCTGCTGGAGACCACAGGGTCCTCACTAAGACTTCCTCATGTACTGTAGAAAGGATGCAGGGAGGACACGGTGCTGGAGCAGACCACCAGGGCTCTGTTCTTATGGGGTAACAACTGCATCTCCAAAACTTCAGTGCATAAATAAATCTATTCCAGAATAAACAGGACATTCATCCATAATCAATCAGGAGTGAGTAGGTAGTCACGGATAAGCTAATCCTTGGTGATAATTAGCCAGCTAACTCCAAGAACATAGCTTTGTCAACAGTTTTTGTTTGTAAGCTCCTGCTAAACCCTCAGAATGCTACTAATGCAGAAAATTTTACATATTCCAGCCATCAGGGTCTTTCAGAGCCATAGTTTCTAAATGGCCTCCTACCTCCCACTCTGTGGTAAAGAGCCAAGCTAAGCATACCTTTACAATCCACCCTGCAGCCACTGCAGTGGCCAAAGTCCCTGTGTGCGCAACAAAGGGTTTGGCTGGCATTGGACATTCCTCCCGAGACTTCCTTGACCACTCGGAGCTTCCAGTTCCTCAAGGGCGGCTCTTTCCAATAGGCCATGGTAAATGGTCAGCCTCTGTGAAAGGTAACAAGACCAGAGCTCAATGTCTGGTAAATATTCATCACTTGGTAATGAGATGCCAAGATAGAAACTAAGTACAACTTCCATCCTATCCAATTATATTGTGTCCCATTATTAAATTAAGGACCAATTTTATCCCCACAGAGTTTAAGAATGGTGACGGTCAGGAAGTCTTGGACATGCTACATTTTAGGGGAAAGAAAAACTTAATTTTTTATCCTCTGAGTTGATGGTCAGTTGTCTGTACAACTGAAAGATGCAGTCAGAATCCATTCAAGTTCACTTTTCAGCTCATAAAACTGTAGTTTACACTCACAGAGAGACATCACTGGTGGACAGACTTATTTATGTTGCTAACAATAATGAATGAGAAAATTTAGAAGAGATGATGTCATGCAGCAGGTACAAGTTGATCAAGAAAGCCAACTCAAGCTGTGCTGTTTGCTTTAACAGAGTCATCTGTTCTGACCTACTTGAGCCTTTGGAGCTGGGTCTCGTAAAGGCAGATGGTGTCTTTTAACACCATGTTATTTGAATGCATTAACTATGAAAGAGAGGGGAACAGGGAAATTGATCATCGAAGTCCCTCTAATGCTAAACAATTCCATCTTCCATTTTTCCCTGCTCCCAAAGGATTTTGATTATTTCACTGTGGATATGGAGAAAGGAGCCAAAGGATTTGGATTCAGCATTCGTGGAGGAAGGGAATACAAAATGGATCTGTACGTGTTGAGATTGGCAGAGGATGGACCAGCCATAAGGAACGGCAGGATGAGGGTAAGATGCCTCACATTACAGAGCCCCTTGACCCTCATGAGAACCCCACTGTGGCATCAGGAGGGTGTTGAGACATGCTCTCAAATAAGCAGGTTTTACCCTTTCTGTTTCATAACCTTATTTTTAAAGATTTGGTCAAACACAAAGAATTACGGCATCAAGCACCATGGTGGTGCATCCCTATAATGCTAGCACTGGGGAGGTTGAGGCAGGAGGATGACAATCAAGGCCGTAGTAAATTTGCGGCCATCCTGGGCAAAATAGTATGACTCACACTCTCAAAAACCAAAAAAGATAAAAGACTACAGTGTGTCTTGTTTTTCTGTTTATAAATGTCTATAGATTGATAAACCTCAACATACTGGTATTTTTCTCATGAGGAAATGAAAGGAAGAGGGGAGAGGAAAGAAATTTAAGAAATAGTTTGAAATAGAGACAAGTCCTATTATTCTTCTATGGTTCAGTAATTCCATTTCCACTGAGGTTGAATCTTTGAAAATTTATTTTCCCTTTCATGTTCCTCCCCTCCATACACATTAATCAAATGGCCTTATGTCTCTCGGGGAATGTTTCCTTCCTCTTGACTGGCCTTTGGTCTTTGATATTGGGCAGCCAGGCACAATAGGAGAAAGGGGATTCAGCTGCTAGCACATAGGTTGTTCTTAAAAAACTGGAGCAGTTAGAGGCTTCAATTTGAGCGCACATGAGGAGGGATTTTTAAAGTAACAGCCATACTCAGGGTGATGACTGATGGAATAACTCATTCTGCATCGACAGGTTCAAAACAAAACAACATAACTTTAGATATATTCCTGTCCTGTCTCAAACAGCACCAGCAACTACATAACTACGTTTAATTCTTCTTGTACATCTAGAACTCAACCTTGTCCTCTTTCCCTGCCTTTTAAGTTCATAGAGAAGGGGAGGGGGAGGCTGTGACTTGGAGGTTCTAAAATCTGGGGTCCTTGCACTAAGCCTTGCCACCCAGTTGTTCTTGGAAGTGCACTTGTTATTCACACCACCACAGCTATTGTCTATCATTCTCTTTCCAAAAGCAAGGCATCATCTGCTACAAAATTAGGAAGAATGAAAATCGTGTTTTCCTCCGTCCTCTACAATTCTCTGATAGCTGGAAGGTTGTAGGGGTAGAATTTTACCCCAGACAGGAGTGACTCCAGATATAGACAGTCACTGCCTTATCCAACACTACCCTATGCTTCTCTCTCTGAGGAATCAGCAGGAAAGGTCTTCAAATGGCTTCTTGCCTCTATAGTTTCCCTCCAAACCAGAATGGCACATTCTTTTTATAGAAATATGTTTGTTGATTTATTTATGGTGGAGGCATGCTCATGCCACAGAATGCACTTGGGGGTCAAAGGACAGTTTGGGGGAATTGGCTGTCTCCTTCCACAATGTGTGGTATGAGGGTTGAACTCGGGTGGTCAATGATTACCCTTACCTACTGAACCACCTGCCCAGGCCAGAACTGTACTGCAAAGTCAGCTCAAGAGTGATTAAATAAAATAAAATTAATCCTCGCAGTGTAAGTAAAGTCAGCATAGTACAGAGATCATGGGAGAAATGACCAGAGCCTAGTGAGATAAGGAACAAGTCCCTAGCCTAGTCCCATGACTTTAGAGGTCACCATATTTTAAACCAGTTTCAGTGGCTCCCTGCTGAGTAGATACAGGACTTCCAAGTCACAGAAGCCAAGATAGAGAGCAAGATTTTTAATAGAGCCCCAGCCTAGCAGTGGTTCTCGGCACAGCTGCAGCAGCGAGTCTCAGGATTTGCCAGCATTTTGTAGTTACAGGGCACACAGTTGCACTTGATCAGAGCACGCACATCTTAATTCACAGACACATTTAAATGACTTCATCCAGGACCACGATCCATCAATAGTTGCATGACTTATGGCTTGACTATTTTAAGCTAATGCACTAACTGGATAATATACAGGTTATTGGTTAGGAAAATCCATAATAAAATTACTCAAGGACTTGTTCTCAGTTTATTACAAGTTTCCACCTTGATATTATTAGTATTCAGGTACATATGAAGCTTAAATATCTGTGCTAATAAAGTTTTACAAGGTCTTGTCAACCTTACATGTATTATGATTTGGTTTTTAAATTTTTTTCAAGATTCCTGAGACAGCCAGGTGAGCTAGACATTCATGAGCTATCACTAAAAAATAGCTCAAAAAATAGAAGCCAGAATGAAGTTCTTCCCAGCCTCTGAACTATTACAACACATTTCCTCCCTATTAACATGATTTTGTCACCTCCAATTTCAATGGGTGACCTCTCTATGCACACACACACACACACACACACACACACACACACACACACACACACGTACATGTGCACATGCACACACACACAAATGCACACACACACACTTGATCAAATTTGTTTGGTAGATACTATGTATTTCCCCTATTTTCATCATCAAGAACATCAAAAAGAAAATCTGTAGGTAACGATCTGATAGAAGCTTAGATTTAGTCTGCCACAGTAAAATTGTTGAAATCCAGATTACTGCCAAGGGGCCGGGTGCATCTGTAACATGAACTAGTCATTGTGCCCATAGATTTAGGACATAGATACTGTGGATTTTAGACACTTTGTATTGCACCAGATTTGAGCCTCTGCATTTGAGACTTCTTTTTCTGGTCATTTGTGTTAGTCTGGTTGTAGGAAAATGATAATACAGAATTTAGGTAGGGACACCGAGAAACCCAGGCGAAGTGTTAACACAAAAGTAAGGGCACCATTCGACTGAGGATTCTGGGATACTTTAGTACCCATCTTTTATTTTCAGGTTGTCTCTAGGCATCCAAGTTTTATCAAGACAAATAACAATGATCTTCATGGAACAGGTGAGGAAACGCAGGTAGACCAAACCAGTTCTTTCTGGCTGCCTGCAGCTGTGAGGATTAGTTTGGCAGAGAAATTTAGCAAATTAGACCATTAGAGAAATTAGTTCCAACAAAGTTAACAGGGATAAAATCTTCATAAGTAATGAATAAGTCTCTGGGACAAAGTTCTTAGAAATATAACCTCATTAAAAACTGAAACTAAGTAGAAAACTCAGGCGAAGAAAAACGAGCGTACAAAATAGCTCTCTGGTGAAGCTCGATGGCGCGCGGAGAGCGTGAGAAATCCAGAGACAAATGTGAGGCATTTGGAGGGGGATAATAGTTTTGAGTGCTTAATGAAAGTCCACCAGACAAAACCTAAGAGAATCTAAGAGGAGAACAAAATGGTTCCCTAAAGGGAGACTAGCACGAAGGGTGGGGTCCTGCTAAAGTGCATGTTTAGCATCCCCAAACACAGAGGAAGAAGGCAAAAATGCTTTCTGCTCCCATGAAAGTGTAATACATTTCTCATCTCTGTGAAATTTATAAAAGAACGTCATTTATAACTCCATTGGTAGCTGTGTGGCATTTGCATGTGCCCAACAGTGCCTGGGCTAGTGGTTCACTATGGAGCCTGCCTGCAATGGGCTTCAGAGGGCCCAAAACCTTAGCTAGCCAAGCAGTGTACAAGAAGGACACACCTTACCCATCTTTTGTGTTATCTTAATGAAAAATATAACTGACTGATTTAAACTTCTTTTGCATTTGTCAGTTTTATTCCTGGTCCAGACACATCTAGCTTGAAATTACAGAATAAGTATTTAAATGATGTATATTCTATTTTATATTTTGTTACTATTAAACACAGAACCACTTGCAAGACTGTTTCTAACATATGTGACAGAAATAAATACTAATGATACTTCAAACGCCCATGAGCTTTTATCCCAGCTTTAAATAAAGGGGAAGGGAAACATTATCAACCTCTTGTGTCTCCATTCCCTCCTACCTTCCCACCCTAGATGGAAAGAGCCACCGCCCTAAATAAAGAAGCACTTGATGTTCTGACTGCTGTCCCCACACATGCCGCTTTCATTTTGCATACTTGGTGAGCTTTGTACAAATGACTCACAATGTGCATGCTCTTCCCGGTGGTTCCTTCTTTATAATTATTTTTACGAGATTCATCCACGTTGGTGGATTTATTTTCACTGCTGAGTTTTCCATTTGGGTCGATATTCTACAGTCTGTGTACTTGTCTGTTTTCCTGTTCTATGGGCATTTGGAATTTTCCCTGTCGATGGATCTTAGGTTGTAACTAGTACAATCCTTGAACATCCTCCAGTTCCATACATGCAAGACTTCCTCTAGACTAGTGTATTGCTAGACAGATACATATTTACTTACCTAAGAGCACAAAAACAATATCTGAGGTTACCATGCAAAGTTACACACATACCAACAATGTTGATAAGTGCTCATTCTTGCAGAACTTGTGTTTCCGTCTTCTAAACTCTCACTCTAATAAATGGAAATGACATATCATCTGGGTGTGAGTTTGCACGTCAGTGTGTGCATGCCTTCAGGTGCACGTCCAACCTATGTGAGTGCGCAGGTGCAGGCTAGAGGTCCACATCATGTGCCTTCCTCTGTTGCTTCCTGTCTCGTCTCCTTTTGTTTTTAAATTGTGGAGTACAGTTATTATTTTTAGGATAAGCATGTAGCACAGTGCACACATGGGGTCAGAAGGCAGCCTGTAGAAATCTCTTCTCTCCTTTCACCATATGTGTCCTGAGGCTTAAGCCCACGTCCTCAGGTTTGATGGCAACCACTTTGGCCCTCTCAGCCATCTCACAGGCCCTCTCCACATTGCTATCTTTTTCTTGTGAGGCAGGTTCTCTGTACTGATTCAGCGAGACTTGCTGGCCAGTGAATGTGAAGGAATTTGTATGCCTTCATTCCACAGGATGTTCATTATTTTTTCCTATGGTTATTAGATCTGGGCATCCCCTCTTGAAAAGTGTGTCTTTTCTTCACATACTGTTGAATATTTGTCCTTACATAGTGTGAATCTCTTGTTCCAGTTTATGTATTGTAGTTCCCTTTCTTCCTAATGCTTGTTCATAAAGAGACCTTG